GTCACAAAAACTTCATAATCATTGTTCTTATTTTCAGGAATGATGTCATATTTTTAGGAGGAACCCAGGAATACATGAATTTACTCATAAATGGTAAAAAACAACGTTATTTGATCAAGCACATATTGGACTTTGATGCCACTAGAAAGAGAATGAGCGTTATTCTCAATACACCAGACGGTAAGACAGGTGTCCAGTATATTACAACACTATTCTAAACAATGCTGAGAAATTAAAAATTCAATCTGATTGGTTGTAATAGGTCATGTGATAGCCATTTAGTAGTGACAAAACATGTTTTATATGATGTAAAGATGTACTACATACTTGTATGCATCATTTCAAGAATAGAATAGGATAGGGATTTAGACTGCCCATAGGTATGTTATTTTCAACATATGTAGATTAATTCAAGGTATAACGTCACCACATGTGACTGACATACTATGGTTTTACTAGGACGTACTTTAATGGTTTGTAAGGGTGCAGACACAGCTATATTACCACGGTGTACAGAAGGCAATAAAAATGATGCAATTGAACATATGAGTCATTATGCAGTGGTGAGTATCTTATCTCTATTTTTCAAATATAATTTAAAAAATAATTTATGTGAATATTTTTGAGTGTTATTGAGTAAATATGTATAGCTGTGTTTCTAATATGGTAATTTGTATTAGGTTTTATAAAATTGATGAAACAATAATTTCACTGTGTTAGTTCTCATATCATGTGTTAGTTATCATATTTCACATAGTTATGTACTGTATTTCTCCCAAAAAATTTAAAGTGATGCAGTACATATATTCAGTGATGGGCTCCATCACAAAAAGATTGATAAAATTTCCCACATTTCATTGCATTAGCAAATTTAAAATGGAGTGCTACTTCAATTTCACTGATATCAAATTTTGGATCTTTCCTCATCACTGCTTCCTATCTCCTGCTTTCCGCCATTTTGTTTTTAAAACAAAAACACAGTGCAGTATGGGTAAAATTATTGTTGATCAACAACAAACCTAATCATGTGTAGCAATACAGCTGTGACACACACTGAATCTGTGGCACACTCACCAAGGGTACACAAACACAAACAGCCATAATAGTACTAGTAACAGTGTTATTGTTGTATGGCTGTCAGTGTGTTCAGAAAATTATTAAAATCTATTTGTTTGGTCTAAATTTTATCGTACACATTTCATGATGACACAGCATATCAATCTATTTGTGTGTTTAGGATGGTTTAAGAACACTCTGCATCAGTGAGAAGTATTTAACGGAAGAAGAGGTAGAGAAATTTGATATGAAATTAAACTCCGCACGTTCTGCATTGGAAGATAGAGACAAAAAGGTAAGTGCATTTTTTTCTAATATCAAGAAAAATATATTTCAAGAGTGGAAGTATTTTGATTTTTAGCCCAGATATGGGGCTGTGTGTGTTAGTAAAATGTGTTTCACTTTCTTAGCTCCGCTGTTGACTTTGTCGAGCAGAGCTTATCATATGAGTGATTATTCGTTGTCGTCTGTGTCAACTTTTTACATTTTCAACTTCTTCTTGTAAAATACAATTCTTATTGCTTTGATACTTGGTGTATATGTACCTTGGGCAGACCTCTCTGATATCTTCAATTCTCTAATTTTGATGAATATTTTTGATAAAAGTGATATTTTCAACTTCTTCTTGTTGATTGCTTTGATACATGTGGACCGCTCTCAGATTTGTTCATTTCATGATGATATCTTTGATTCTCTAATTTTGATGAATATTTTTGATAAAAGTGATATTGTCAACTTCTTCTTGACTGCTTTGATACATGTGGACCGCTCTCAGATTTGTTCATTTCGTGATGATATCTTTGATTCTCTAATTTTGATGAATATTTTTGTAATTTTTGAATTCTTGTTGAAAACCGTAAGTCCGCTTGCTTTGATACTACACATATAGGTACCTTGGGTAAACCCTTCTCTGATTTGTTTATTTTCTAATGATATCTTCAGTTCTTGATCTGTGCATTGCTAACAGCGGAGCTATCTCAGCCAAGAGCTTGTTTATAAGTTATATGCAATGTTTTATTACATAGCTATCTTTGGTATTATATTGCAGCTTGCAGAGGCCTATGATGAGGTTGAAAATAATCTACATCTTCTGGGAGCCACAGCGATAGAAGACAAATTACA